ATACCCAATGTATTATCTCAATTGATCTTGATATTTTAGACTGACCGGAGGCCGTATTTCTACAACGACACAAAGCCTTAAGTATATTAACAACCACAACCTTGAGACGCCTGAATAAACTAACCACACATTTAGTGATATTAGAGATAAACGATATTGCTTTCAAGTATCAAATCCTTGCATTATTACAATCAGTCAACTTTGAAGAAACCCATTATTGATTGTATATAACTGCGCGCCGGCCACGGGGGTCATCCGCAAAGAACTCACGGTGCCACAGGGTTAAAAGCGCCTGATGGTGATAGGGCGATGAGAGTTACCGAACACCGCCCAATGATTCGAAGACCGTACACCTGCGCAAGCCACTCCTTGTCAGTCACGTGGTAGTTGAGCTGGGCCGGTGAGAACTGAAAGAAAAATACGCCACTGACCAGAGTTCCCCATTCCTCAGCACATAGATCGCACCACCAAGGCCGATATGCTCACAAGCATCAGCGAACTGGTAAAGCCGTTCACCCGGCTCCGGCGTAGCAAGGACTGCACATCTCTTCAGACACTCGTTGATTAAGTCAAACGCGGCCTGCTGGTCAGCACCCCATTTATTTAATCGCACTCCATCCTTGAGCAAGGCTGATATGGGTTTCAGAATCTTGGAGAACCCTTCAATATAGCGTTGCCTGAATGCCACAGTGTGGTACCAAGATCGCACACGGTCCTGGTTGTCGGAACGGTCAACTTCAAGGAGTGCTGCTAACCGATCAGCTGAGATGCACAGAGATCGTGACACTCTGATGGTTGCACCAGCGCTCTAGGATCTTCACAGGCCGCTTATAGTACCCAATCCGCGCTTTGACAGACCAAACTGGATATCATATTTGTCGCACCGTTCGAAGAATGCAACAAGGTGATCCCAATGCCCCGAGGCGTCCACAGAGGAGATCAGGATATCATCAATATACCATTTGATACCCTGAAACCCGTCAAACAGGCGATCCAGGGTTTCTTGAAACCGCCACGACGCTTCCGTGATACCAAACGACAGGGCCAAGTAGTTATAACGGCCCCACGGATAATATATCCTAGCTCTTCTTCTCCAGCGGATGCTGGTTTAAACCATTCTCACAATCAACAACAGAGACCCAAGGTTTGCCCACGACGTGCCCAAACATCTCGCCCTCAGTGGGGATGTTGAACGGCTCCTACTTCAGGTTCGCTTTCCACTTGGCGAAGTTTGAGCAATACCGCCAGTCGTCTTTGATTTTGGGAGTAACCCGTGGGTTCTTGGGTACCATTAGAGACTTCGCAAACCAGAGAATCTCCTCATTTTCTTGTTTTGCAATGATGCTTTGCTTGGCCAGGTCATCAATCTTGTCCTTCATAGTCACCATTTCAGGGTGGTCGAGGGGCAGTGTCTCCTGACTACGGACTCGTGCTGGAGGCTCGCCCTCTACCGGGTAGAGCTTGATCGGGTCCACCTTCATGAAACTGTGCTTCTGCTTGTCATAGGCTCGTCCCTCAATCAAGGTTTCCAGTTGTGCCAGGTCTGCTTCGTTGTTAGCTTCCTTGGCCAACTGTCGTAGCCCAGAACAGTCACACTCTAAACACTTGTTTGCACACCGATCACATTCCTCGATCTCAGGCTTTTCTTAGTCATCGAGGGCATGATTCGGAAGATCGATACGATTGACCAAATCTGGCAGGCCAGGGAGGAATACCCTTTCCACATCCTTGGCTTGCGGGAGGACTTTCGCCGGGACAGAGTCCTGCTCAGTATGCTCCTCACGCTTCATGGGCCGCTACTCTACCCTTGCTAACAGCAAGGCCCGAAGGTCCTGGGCTTCTACACCGAGGCGCCCCCTGTGCAGGTCACTCCGGGAGAACCATTCGGAAGCGAGGTCGTAGCGGACTTAGATCCACTAGTCTACCGCTTGCGTTGTTTTCATGACACGCCGATCATGAACCCCCGTTTTTTCATCGGTGGAAGTAGGCTCACTGTTTTGCCATGACGGACTTAGGTCCACCATTTGCCACCTGCATAGACATCGTGAACGACTCGTGCGGAGCATGATCGTTACGAGCTGCCGTCTTCTTTCGTCTGGCCGGATAGGGACGCTCGTTATGCGCCCTAGGCCGTCTCATGGACTCTGTACTATAATCAGAATCAGTATCATCCGACCAATCGGATAACAGGCTCCAGCAGGATTGCTCACTGCTGTCGTCGCTTGCATCCTTCCGAGCCGTTGGAGTTGTACGCCTCAGAGACGCTAGCTTCAACGGACGATAATTCCATAGTGGGCCATGCTATGTTCTCATCATTCGAGATATCAGAGTCCGACATAATGTCCCAACAGTCGTCATCTCCAGACGACACTTCAGACGGCGAACTTGCAGTATTGGGCTGCCAAGGACTGACCTCAGTAGAACTATCATTGTCCGCACTGCTGCGAATGCGCTCGTTGGCTCTACCAGCCACACGCTCCAATGGTCGACGACGCTTATGTCGCTTCTTCTTCGCCTTCTTGCTCCGCGCCCGGGGTTTCGGCTGTCGGAAGCCAAGCAACCACTTGACTTACGGGCTCAAAGAAACATTTATATTCTTAAGCCACGACCACTTAACGGCGGATTGAGGTACTAAAATTAGCTCATCCTCTCGCCACATCAGCACCCAGCTTGAATGTCGCATCTGATCATACTCAATGAGTATGTCACAACCCATAGGTATGTCTTCCACGACATAAAAAGGATGTCCTGCTGCTAACACATATGCTCCCCCAAAGATGACCAAGTAAGCTTCCAGGTCATCCCATGGCAAAAAAAACTTGGGGGCCAAATTCCCCATGCCATCCATTCCTTCCATTGTTGGCCCTGCATACCCGTCCCTGGCTGTCACACCGAGCTTCTCAAGCACGCAATTCGTCACAAGGTTGAACGTGCATCCCGAATTCGCAACGCCCACGTGTGAACAGCGCCAACTATCGCAGGAACCACTGCACCATTTCATTTGTGACGCGGCTTCTTCTTTGAGGCAGCGCCTGCTGTTCCTTCCCAGAACGTGAATGCGAACGTCCTCTACGCGAGTCGACGTCCTTTTACTCCGACTACCTGCCACGCGATTTCCAAGGCTTGGAATATCGCTCAATGCTGTCTTTCTTGCGATACCGCTCCGGATTTCGCTCTCTCGGTCGACTGCCGGCCTCGATTACGATCTTCGCTCCTATGCTTCTTTCGGTCCTTCCGCGACTCAGGAACTAAATAAACAAGTAGCGCCTGCCATTGTTACTGCTGGGGGTTCGGTTGCTGCTGCTGACCACCACCTCCTTTGGTGTTCTTACCTCCGTGATTACCACCACCACAACCCGCTTGTTGGCCATTATCATTCTGCGGGCGCTTCGGCTGCTGGTTATTCGCCCGCGCCTTGACCTTGGTACTATCTCCGTCCTCAATCTTAATGAAATCAAACAAGGATGTGCTGTAAAGTGCCCATGATAGCTGTAGCCAACTGAGCAATGCCTTGCTCAGCAAATCCAGCTACAGAAAGGACGTGCTGCGTATTCCGAAAAATGAGCGTAAATAACAATTCAACGACCACGATTTGCTCATTCACCTCACGCACTACCTTTTTTGACAGCGCAGGCTCAGCGATAGCCTGCGCAAGCAAAAACTTACTGATGTTGTCGTTCACCATTGCGAGTGCTGCATCTGCTTTGTTGCTGCCGTTTCGAAGAACCATACAAAACGCGAATCCTCTTCTGATATTCCGGTCGGCAGGCGTAGGACTGCTAGCTAAATGCTCATTGTGATGACCCTGTTGCTGAGCTCGCCGTTGTCAATCCCTTCGTTGACAAACTAGACATACTTTTTAGCAAGACGTTCCTTTCGATAACGGTAAGCCTTCTCCGTCATCAGACGACGCGCTTCCTGTCTCATTTGATGCCTCATGGCATCCTCTGTGGTCAAAACCAAGTGACACTTAGTAAAGAGTGTTAAGTCTGAGATACGTGAACTCAGTCAGAAGTGCCGTTATGATCGGCGCGTCTGCTGCATTTAATATCACGTTCTTGTGTAGAATAAGATTTTCTCTAACAACGGGTAATCATGACAATACCCATATCTATGATTTTCGTCTCCTGGTTACTAAATTAGGATGACTCCTTCTGAGTCATCAATCTTTAATGTTAAATTCCTCTGTCTCAATGGACTGGACAAGCGAGCCCAACCTACAAGTGAAATTTTAGGACCGGACAAGAGGACCGGACCTAAGAAGAATATTTCAGGACCGGCCTCAGAGGGACCGGATCAAATATTGAGACAGATATATATATATATATATATATATATATATATATATAA